TGGTCATCATCGCACTTCTATTCACCAGCCCCTTTGAGAGTTTCACGTGCTCGTCTGTCCATTCTTAGGAGGGTCACCAGTATCGCCTCAAAGTTAGGTCCAGACAATAGCCCCTCAAGAAGGCACCTGAGTGAATTGTGTGTGTGGTCCCAGCCTCCCATTGGCTCCAGGGTTTTAGGGAGAAGCTTTCTCCAGGGGGCTGAGAGGACACTGAGAATTAACAAGGAATGCCAGAAGCACAAATGGAGGCGGATTAGTGCCTGGAGAGAAAGAGGCTTCTCACGTCCAGGAGACCCACAAGAGAGGCAATAGGGAAGCAGGCAAACGTCCTCAGCAGGAGGAGAAGACTGCAGTTCGTAGACCAGGGACACACCACCCAACGGGAGTTGTCTGGAATGGAGAGGTTTAGCTGGGAGACAGGAGAACGAGAGCAGCCCATTTTTATTCAGACGCCTGATGCAAACAGCGCAAACCTTTTCTGGCAGTGTTTTGAACATGACCAGCACTTCCGAAGGATGCGGTATGAACCATAAATTGGCCTTTGTTTTAAGACCACTTTAAGACCTTGTTTCTTACCCTTTTCTCATTCTTTAAAATCCCTGGGTACCATGTTCTAATATTTTGTGATTCACTGAATATTTACAGGACTGGTGATTATGATTTAGATGGGAGTCAATTTGCTAAAATAACCAAACAATTTCCCTGCTTGTAGTAAACCCAGCTTGAGGGATCGTTCGGTCTTGGATTCCGACAGCAAGACGATCCGGTCTGTGTGAACTGAGCGACCCTCCGCTTGCTTCTTTGTGGTGAGTGCACCCAGTCACTTGGCTCTGGCCTTGCAATGTTAGGAAGGCTGGAACGGGAATGAACAAACCCTGGAGGAGCCTGATGGTTATGTGCTGGACTACTAACTCCAAGGTCAGCAGTTCGTAAACCACCCGGTGCTCCTTGGGGGAACGATGAGGCTCTCTGCTACTGTAAAGAGTTACAGTCTCAGAAACCCAAAGGGGCAGTTCTACCCTGCCCTGA